TTTGAAGGAGGTATAATCATGTGAATTGCTTGGGCCAATAAAACAAAATCTACTTCTTAGTGAAGACTTGAAAAGCTAGTCTGATTCAGCACAATCGTGGAAGCCAAGGGAAGCGCAGCCTTCCTCAGGCAAGCCCAGGAAGGAACAGAAAATAGAGTGATGGCATCCGATTAGTTACACGTGGACAGTGAGAGCATGAAACATCACTAACAGAAATTAAGATGTGCTATTAGGGTCAAACACATGCCTCATTTCAAAGAATTAGAAGAAACAAAAATTTTTGTCTCATTGATAATATTTTTCATCGAACATCCACAGGATACTTCAGAAATATTAGGCTAATAAACTGCATGACTAAAATTAATTTCATTTTAAAATTTGATTATCAATCAAAGTAACATATGTGGTTTATATTATAGTTTTTATCGTATTGTGGTGACAGAGCCCATCCAATCCATGCTAATAAACACGGAGCATGAGTAAAACATAAACTTTTCTTGTTATAGGTTTCTGAGTTTTACAGGTTGTTAGTGTTGCTTATCTGAATGCAATAACTAGCATGTTTACTCAGTCCTCATTCCTCTTGGCTATTCTGTGGAAGGAAAGGAGTCCTCACCCTTAAGGTCAGGAATATGCCAGTCTAAATATGCCAGTCTTGCCCTTTCAGGCCTTCTTGACTTTTCAGCTGTGAGACGGAGTTCTGGTAAGTCAGAAACAGAAGCGCCTATTTCCAGGAAAAGGACTGAGTGGGGGTGCTAGAACAATAGTACAGCAGGTAGGGCACTGTCTTGCACGTGGCTGACCTGCGCTTGATCTCTGGCATCCCATATGGTCCCCTGAGCACTACCAGGAGTGATCCCTGGGTGCAGAGCCCAGACCCAGGGTAAGCCTTGAGCACTGCTGGGTGTAGTCCCAAAACAAAACAAAAACCAGTAACAAGAAAATATGACCAGCAGGTGCATGCTGGTCTTTCCTTCTTCCCTTCCACTTGTGAAGTCTGGGACTTTGTGCTACCAGGCCACATGCATGAGCACTATAGCACTCTCCCGTAGCACTGTCCTCCTGTTGTTCATAGATTTGCTCAAGCGGGCATCAGTAACGTCTCCATTGTGAGACTTGTTGTTACTGTTTTTGGCATTTTGAATACGCCACGGGCACCTTACCAGGCTCTGCCGTGTAGATGGGATACTCTCAGTAGCTTGCTGGGCTCTCCTAGAGGGACGGAGGTACCGAACCCGGGTTGTCCACGCGCAAGCAAACACCCTGCCTGCTGTGCTACTGCTCTGTCCCTGCCCCATATGCATGAGCATGAAGAAAAATGTGCCAAGGATAGTTGAGCAGAAAGACGTAAGAATAGGAAGCAACAAAGTGTCTGGGATCCTGCTTGGATCATCATCCATACTAACCCCAGTGATGCCAGACTTGAGCTTTTTATGTGAGAAAACAGTCTCCTATTTGTTTAAGCTATTATTTGTCAGTTTTCTTTAACTTGCTGCCAAAACCATTCCTATCTGATATAGTTATATTCTTGGAAGCAGCAGACAGATGAATTTGTCAAGCCAATCTGATATAGTCCTGGAGTTTTATTAGGAGAATTCAGATCACTAAACTTGATTTTATGCCTACTCTTTAGGCATAGTTAAGTTTACTACTTTTTATTTATCTAATTTTATTGACTCCAAATTTCAGTTTATTTCCCCTTTCACACTCTGAGAATTTTGAGGATCTAATCTATTACTTGTCACAGTTCTGTTCCCAATAGTCGTTATTTACTCCTACATTTTCTACATTTGTATTGGAACTGATTGTCAATCTCAGAGTTTCCCCCCACCTCCAAATCACTTCATGTCTGAAAATGTCCTTTTTTTCCCTTAATAGATAAATATCGTCATGGTCACATAGAGAATTTGGGGGAGGGGGAGATGTAATTTTTTGCTCCTGTAGCCTTTCCGTCTTCTGGCTTTCAGCACTGCTGACAAATCTGGTACTAATATGGTTCTCTTTGAAAATAGCTTGTTTTGATAATGTGCATAATTTTCCCTTTGTCCTCAAATTTCAGACCGTCAGCAGCACAGAGCGAGGCCTGTGTTCCTGTGCTTGTCCCTACTCATCCTGAGTGTACTTTACAACTCTTTAAGATAGAAATATTTAAGATATCACAGTCTGCACAGCCATATTTCTTCTCTTTCTCTCTCTCTCTCTCTCTCTCTCTCTCTCTCTCTCTCTCTCTCTCTCTCTCTTTCTTTAAAAAAATTTCAGTTCCTTTTTCTCTTTCTGGAACTCCAAGCATTTATAAGTTTCTAGATGGCCCCTTTTTCCACCATAATGACCACCTTGGAGTTCCTGGGGTGGACTATAAGATAAGTCATCACCCTTTTTCCAGAACATTAAATCAGTTCTCAGCAATGACCATTCTCGCTCTCCTGTTTTTTTCAGCTTGTTTACTGAATTTTTATATTTAGAAAGCAAGGGACTATTTTTGCTTTAGGTTCCAAAAGTTACTTTTGTACTCAGAACTCATTTCCTGAGTCCTGTTTCCTGAGTAGTCTAATCAAGTTCTCCTGTGTGTCTTCCATTAGCTTCCCCTTGGTACGAGTCTCAGATTCTAGGTTTTCCAATTTGTGCTTTCCTGGCTGTGGAAATAAAGGAGCAGAGTGAGGCCTGGCTAATGCAGCTAATTCCATGGTCCAGCAGAGCCTCAAAGGACAAATCACAGAGATGGACAATGTCCTTGCATAACTCAGCTTCCTCAGGGTACAGAGCTGACCACGCAGCCCACCCAGGCCATTAGTGAAGCGTCTCCCCAGTGCCACACACAACAGGTGGGAAGTGTGGAGTCTTCTCAAGGGGTCCACCAACCCTTACCCTTACACGGTGGGTGGATCTCATGCCATTCAAGTATTTGTCCTAGAACCCCAGGAGCATTTCCTTCTTTTTGTTCCCTGCTTCTCAGGAGGCCCAGAGAGAATGAATCATGTTACTCTTCTTCCCCTGGAGCTGTCAGGAAACTTGGAGCTTTCATTTCCAGGCTCTGCCAGCAGGCTTACCTGGTTTTCCCAGAGGGAATCTGTTGAAGTTAGAACCTGTGCATGGCAAAGCCTGGCATGCTACCCGTGATATATTTGATATGCCAAACACAGTAACAACAATGTCTCCCAATGGAGACATTACTGGGCCCGCTCAAGCAAATTGATGAACAGCGGGAGGACAGTGCTACAGAACCTGTGGGCCAAAGGAAGATTTTCCAGAATCTTCATACTCACATGAACCTTTTTCTGGTGTTGGGGATTGAACCCAGAGCCTCATATGTGTGACATAAGTGCTCTACCACTGAGCTACACTCCTCCTGCTCCTTCCAACTGTACCTATACTTTCAGGGTATTATTTCCTAATCACAGAAGTACTTTAAGCATATTTTGTGAACATACAGGAAAGAGACAGAGAGAAGAATAAACACAGAGAGAAGAAGAGAGAGAGTGAGAGAGAAAAAGAGAGAGAAATCCTATACATAATCCCATCAGTCTGCGATATCTCTTAATACTCTGCTATACAATATCCAAATAATGTAAATGCCTCTGTGGGGGCCAGAGAGACAGTACAGAAGTGTAGCAGGCTTGCCTGACATGTGGCTGACCAAGGTTTGATTCCTAGCACCCTTTATGGTCCCATGAGCCCACCAGCAATGATCTCTGAGTTCAGAGTCAGGAGTAAGCCCTGAGCACCACAGTATGGCCCCAAGACCTAAATAAATAAAAATGCTCATGTGTATGATTGTATATGTACTATAAATATAATACTACTTTGTTTGGGGCATATGTCTTTGGCCCCAAACATCTTTGTTTTTTTTGGGGGGGAGTCAAACCCATGGCATGCTTAGGGGTTACTCCTGACTCTGTACTAAGGAGTTACCACTGGTGGTGCTTGGGGGACCATATGGGATGCCAGGGATGGAACCTGGATCAGCCACGTGGAAGGCAAGCATCCAACATGCTGTACTGTTTGGCCTCATGAGACATGATGCTCTGGCCCCAAGAGACATCATTTTTAATAGCTGAAAACTACTCAACTATAAGCTTATGTATTAGGTTCTTCATTATTGCTTATCGCTTTGTAACACTATAATGTATGTTAGAGAGCACTGGCGAAATTTTTTGCACATTCATAATTATATGAAAAGGTGGACCTGTTTGGGTGAACAAATATGCCTTTATAAAAAAATAAATATTTTTGTCATGCTGGTGGGGATCAACCCCAGGGACTGACATGTATAAGGCAAATGCCCTACCACAAAACCACATCTCTGGCACAAATAGACTTATTATTATTTTTTTAGACTTATTTTTAAGGTTTTAAGATTGCTGAATTTCCCTCTAGAAAGTGTAACCAATGGACAATCCTACCAATAACTAATTCACATGCTCAACTCTCTTTCTGCCCCAGGTCAAACTAAAATATCATTAAAAAAAATCTTGGATAATTTGGTAGATGGAAAAGGGTAATGTTTTTTGGTTTGTATTTATTTGACTGTTAACCATACTGAGTCTTTTTTTTATGTTCGGTGACAGACAGCATTTACTTTGCAAAATGCCTATTTACTTAAGCCCCTTGTGCCCATATATTGACGATCTTGGTAACAATAATTCCCTTTATCTTTTGCAGTGATTTTTACCAAAAATTCTATTTTTATTATCATTTACTATAGTAGCGCTGACTTTCTTTAGGCTTAAGTGCTATCTCTTTATTCATCCTCTTACTTTTAGCTGCTCTGAGTCACTTTGTTTTGGAGATACGGGTTAGGCAGCATGTGGGCATTTTTTTTTAATTCAATTGTGACAACCTGACCCAAATTTTAAAATCTGGAGACATTTCAAAAACATTTAAAAAGAATTACAGGATGTATAACAATTATGAAACCAGGTAGCACAGCTGAGCCTCTGTGTCAGAGATTGGCGCAGGATACTCTTTGGAGTGGCACAGGTGGCCTGGCCGAGCACACTTACCTTCTGAAGCCCACCGTTCTCCTCCAGCAGGGGCGGGAGCACACTGGGGCTGCTAGCTGGCGGGGCATCCACATTATAGTCCCGGAAGCAGCAGAAGAAGGAGCTGAGGATGCTGCGGCTCCTCTGTTTCTTCAAGCTGACGCTGCTCTGGGAAGCTGCGGAGAAGGAAGAGCACACTGTAGCTGACTGTGGCAGCCTGAATGACAGCTCCCGGCCTCTCCCCCACTGTCCACCCCTCCTGATTCCAGGGGACCAACGGTCGGAGAAGCGCGAGGATGGCCCTAAGAAGTTCCTCTGAAGTCGCCATGTATTAGGTGCTTATACATGCAGGGCCCTCTGTCCTGCTGGCTGCACGGAATTCCTCTGAGCTCAGCCCAGTGGGGGGCTGCTGACACATTAACTGACCCCTCCTCAGGGTCAGGCACCATCTACATTCCTGAATGCTGCAGGCAGACATGTCTTCTGACCCTTTAGTCATCACTGTTTCAAAACAGAGAGCCCGGGACACAAATCAGACCTGGTGCTTCCCCGAGAGGCAGCTATTAGAGTACCAAGGAAGAGTCACTTTGAAACTAACTTCTGGGACATGCCTTGTTCAACCAGGGACATGGTTGACTTCAGGGTGAAGAAGTCAGAGATGGGACTGAGGAGATAATAGAGGGTTAGAGTGCATATCTTTCAGGCACTGCCATTGGCGCCATCCCGGTACCACTGGATCTCGGAGCAATGCCAGGTGTAGCCCTGCAGCATCCTGCCCAGCATCGCCAGGAGTGTCCTTGCAGGCCTCTGAACTCTGCTGAGGTAGCTCTGCTGGTCCCCAGCTCGGGTGGCTTAGACTTCTGGGAGTGGTCCCAGCCCACTTGGGCACAGCATAGGTCGTGCCGTGCTCCTCTACCCACAGAATCAGGAAATGGTACATGGAGTCCCCTCCTTAAACTCTTTTGCAAAGAAAGTGGTGGGAGCCTGGACCCCTAGAACTCTGAGCTGAAGGGATCTATTATATTAAAGACACAAATGGCAGGAGATAGGGGGCAGAGAACCTGTATGGCAGTCTGAGCACAACTGGCTGGGGCACAGCCCACCTTCAAGAGAGCCACACTGTGCCACACACTGGAGGGAGCCACAGAGTGTTCTTGGTTAGCCTGGGCTAAGACAGGCCGCCACAAGTCAGAAATGAAAAGTAAAAATTAGTGTATGAAAAACACACCTTCAGGGAGGAAACTGACAACTCGAGGGACAGAGTGGTGTTTTTTTTTTTTTTTTTTTTTGGCCTGGGAATGCAGCCAGGGCTGTCCCACTGCATACCAAGCATGTCTGGGTGGGTCAGCAGCTGAGGAGAGGCCACAGGCAAAGGGACTAGCTTCAGGGCAGAAGGAAAGTTTACCAATGTGCAGAATGATCTCAAGCCAACATAATTGGGGCACTTCTTCGCGTCCAAAAAACAACTCCAGCGTGATCCTGCATTTTGTACACTCAAGTGATTTGTACACAGCGCCTTCCTTCACAAACGCCCGTAAAACCTTTGCTGAAAGTCTTGGGGCGCACTCTTCTTGTCAGCAGCAAGTCTGAGTGCATGCAGATGGAGGTTCTGGAAAAGGGCTCAAAAGCTATTTTGCCTGCAACTGCACAGGCACGGAAGGTCTCTAGCCTGGGTTTGGGCTAACAGCCCGAGGAAGTGTCTGTTTAAGATCCTCCTTTGCTGCAGATGAGCTTTAGAACCAGAGAGCCCTGGAAAGCTGGTGGCTCCTATTTTCCTGTGAGTACTTGGGGGGAGGCCAAGTATCGGACATTTCTGGCCCCACAGGCCAAGCCTGCAGCCTTCTAAGTAGCAGCATTGGGACTCAAAAAGGACCATGCTCACCGTCAGTCTAGCCTTTCAGTGCTTTTCACAGGTAACCCTCAGCGCTGCCCATGGGGGGCGGGGAGTGTTTGACTGCAGCTCTCGCGCTGCTGAGGAGCTGTCTAGGAACTCGGTGCCAGCAGTGGGGCCCATAAGGCTGGTTTGTGGTACCTCCTTGTGCCAAGTTGAAGTTGACCTTGAGGCAACCCAGGTTAGAAGGAGGGAAGAACATGCCAAAAGGGGAGAAAAGCACCTCATCAAATGTCTAGTTAATAAAAAGAGTCTTTTCAAGAGAGCTTGTTACTTGGGGTGTTTTAGTTTTTAAGTCACGCTCAAGTAATTTAGTTGGAGGAAGGGAAAAAAAACCCAAAACAAAATGGGATCTTCCCTAGCTAATAGCACATTTTGCTGTAAGTAAACAAGCTATTTGTTCATGTCTCAGAGACACTGAGAAGTTACCACCCCGGCCTGGCAGCAAATAGCTCTGCGAAAACCACCTTCTCAGATCCCATTTTCTTCCCATATCACAAGCACCTTCCCCACAACCAACCAAATCACTAATTAACAAAGCTTTTGCTTAAAATATTCCAAACCTGGAGTCAGAGAGCTACTTAACATTTTCAGCAGATGATTACTTATTTACCATGGAAAAACCGCAAGCAGAGCTGTGGAACTTTCTAGATGGGTCCAATGCATTTGGGAGACCAGACCCTTAGAGGGGAAACAGCAGCTTGCTCACGCTTGCCCATCTCTTCATTCAGGTGTGAGGCAGCCAGAGTGGTCTCACTATGGCGGGAGGCCTGGATCTCTTACAGCAAGATAAGGTAGGTCTGAAGACTGGCAGGAACCTCCAAGAGGTGGGGGCGTCTAACTTTCCCATCTCTCTGGCTCTCAAAATGAGACGAGCTGATTTCTTCTGACCAGTCTTATATACATGTATATATATGTGTGTGTGTGTGTGTGTACACATATGATCTGACTTGATCATAACTGTGTGGAACAAATGAAAAGATTCTATGAGGCAGATTGGCAAAAACATACAAAATATTAACATTAACAATAATGTCATAATTATAGATATCTATATCTCTTTCTATACTTTCCATATATTTTGCCAAAAGTGGGGAAAAGTAAATAGTCCTGCTATTCACTTTCTTTCAGAACTCTGTGACGCTCAGGGGAAGCCATGTTCCCCTTCTAAACCTTAACCTTTCAGACTTCTGTGTTTTTCTACTCCACACATGTGAAGCAAAAACCAGGCAAGAGCAATTATTTTGAGCCTTACCGGAAGTAAACGTTGCTACTGAACACAGCTTCAACTCCCTCCTGACCTGCAATCCTACCAATGGAGAACATGCTCAACAATCTCAAGTCAGTCCAGGTCCACAGGAAACCAAGCTAACAGCAAGGAGTCTTTCCCTATTTGAATGCTCTATGGGCCATCTCATCTTACAGGCCCACCCACCACTCTGAATGAAGTCTCTGCTCTCACTCCCTGTCCTCGTGTGCCAGTTTGGCTCTTTCTTCTGTCAAGACTCGGATGTGAGGTCTCCTGGAGGACTAGGGATTCAGGAACAAATTCTTCATCAGAGTTGCAACAGTGGGATGCACACATCCTCCGGTGACAAAGGTTTTGAGAATATTTTGGAGGAGTCAAAGAGGGAGCTGCAATTTTGAACGTCAGTCTAAAACACTTCATAAAGACTTTCATTTGTTAAATCAGAGTTAGGAGGAAAAAGCCATCAAAAGTCATCCCGAAGTTTTCTGTTGCTTTCCCCTGGAAACTCTTCCTGCTCTCATCAACCCCCACACCTACCCACCTCACTCCTGGGTTCCCTCCATGGTAGACGCCTCATTGCTCTGACGTCCCACCTCCCACTCCTCTCCTCATCTTCCCCCTTTTCAGAACATTCCTGCTCTTCACGACCAGGTCCAAAGCCCACCTGTGAGAGAGCCCACTCCAGTTAAAGTGCTTTGTACCTTGGTCACTAAGTCCTTCCTGGACTGTGTTCAGCTGAGCTGTCTTCAGTTCCCTCTTTTCTCTTCATTTCCAGGCCAGGCTATTCACTGAGCATCTCTGCATGCCCACAGGAGTCTCTCACTCAGAATCAACAGGACTTAACATCGCCCCTCTTCATCAACGCTCCTAGTCTAAATGTTTTCCCTTTTCTCTCTCATTAAGCTGTGGATTCTGATATTCTGAGCAGCTCTGAAGTCCGTCCCTCTCAATCTGCCCTTGCCATACCCCGAATGATGAGCCCTCATCATTCTGTTCCTGGACCACTCCAATAGCTTATTTCTGTGTGGCCATATCTGAATTCCCTTAATTAGCTCCTGAGTCACTCGCCTAGGTAGGGCCCAACAAGTGCGTTGACAGAATAGGAGGGCTGATTTTGAAGCTGACTGGCCCTGCAAGATATGACTGTTGGCCTGACCATCCAAAACAGGGGCCCCAGGTAAGTTAGGTGTCTTCCCAGTGCTTTAGTTCCCTTACGTGTAAGAGTGGATAATAAAGATAATCATTTTATAGACTTAAGAATGAAATGAGTATAAAATGCGCAGGCAATCCTTAGCACAGGATAAGTACTTTATAAATGTCAGCTCTTATTATCATCATTAGTCTCTTAAAAGCTTGAGATTTTAAAGGGAGGTTCTGCTGGTAAATTTGAGATCAAAGGCTCAGTTCTATGAGTATACACTCTCCCTCTGGCATTTGACAATGAGGAGGCATAACACTAATAGACTTCGGGTACTAATCTGTAATTTAGAAAGCAAAAGTAGAAAAGTCTCAGGATGTGATTCTATTCAACTGGCTGCAGAGATGGAAGAAAAGGGCAGGGTTAACAGTCTAAACCAGCTCAGCTGGGGGCTGTTTACCTGCTCTCCTTGGAACAAGAACAATGCTCCAAGAGAGGAGGGGGGCCCATGCTTTCTCCCTACCCCCCAGCTTACTTCCTCTGGAGCTGCAGTTTAGCTCTCTCTGCTGAACCCTGCACCTACCCAGTTTCCTTCTGATCCTTCGCATCAAGCTGGGCACTAACACTAGGCCAGTGGGAGGCCCCACAGGGAGCTGAGAGCCGCCAGCTCAGGGCCCTCCTGCTGGCACTGAGACTGGGCTTGCATGTGCTGTCACTTCCCCATGGCTCACCACCTTCTCCTCGGCTCTGCCAACAAATACATGCAATGCTTTTGGCATCTGCCTGTCTCTTGGCAAGGGGTGGGCATCGAGGGGGTGAGTAAAGGGGAAGTTCTATCAGGGGTAGATGGGCAACTCCTAAGACTTAACTTTCTTGGGGTTGGAGAAACAGTATAGAG